TTTTTTCTGGCGTTGCCAGATAACGGCACAGAAAGATGCACCAAATGTCACCTTATTGTATCTGTGTTTATGAAATAGTTACTAATTAATAGTTAAAAATGAAAACGGTTCAGAACTAAGGAACATTTTATTGCAAAAGCCCAACTTTCTGATCAAAGACAAATCCACATCGATGAAAAATAAATCAAAATACTCTGTGGTATTTTCAGGGGGCCGGACCAAATGCGGAGGCGGGCCGGATCCGGCCCGCGGGCCGTAGTTTGGGGACCACTGGTCTATATGATAAATTGGATGCTTAAGAAGTGTAGTCGACAATTACACGGCATGTTTCATGTGATGTGTATGTAGTGGTAAAGCCCCAGATTTGTTTGCTTTATTGTTATAATCTGTACTTAATTTAGCGTTTTACTGATTTACACTGTAGTACTGTATATACCGGTACTAAGGGTAAGTTTACATCACACCTGTGTCGCAGAATTCCGGTGTCATGGTCAACAGTTACCACACTGCATGTCAAAGTATTGAGTAAGTTTATACCTGTAATTTGAGTGGATAAACTGTTTTTCATAATCATGCTTCATTTGCCTTTATCTTAGTATCGTATAATGCAATAATAGAGTTGATATTGTTTTAATAAAGATATTTATTGAAAAATGCCTTCGAAAAGGACCTTGACAAAAATAATTGCAATTATAAGGGAAAAAAGTATCCATAAGATAATTTTTCAAAATTGTTCAGCCCTAGCCCTAGAAGTATATTCCAGTCAATTTTTATTTACATATTTTGGTATAACACATTACCCTTTGCTCTTTGTAGTGCTTATCGCTGCCCTCTTTGCATGCACTCTGTCTGGAACATGGAGGAATACTGGAGTCAGATCGACAAAGAGATTGCCCAGTCACCAATGCCCATTGAATACCAGGGTACCACTGTCAAAGTACGGTGCATTCGTTTTAAATGAATTATTGTTTAAAAAGTGACCGATATGTACAAAAAGTTGCCGCGCACACACTATTAAATATGTATGTTATTAAAAATAGTCTAACTTTCTTTTTATTCATTCCTTTAATGGATATTCTTTTGTAATGTATATTTCTTTTCCCTGTGTTTAAGATTATGTGTAACGACTGTCAAGCCCACTGTACAGTGCCTTTCCATGTCCTGGGGATGAAGTGCACTGGCTGCGGCTCCTATAACACTGCGCAGGATGGAGGTCTCATCCAGCAGCATCCAGAGCCTGATAATGACAATGAGCCAGAGACAAATGCAGAGCATCAACATGATCAATCTGAGTCACCTTGACCACATACCACATGACGATATCACACTGCTCAACAGCAAATTGTCATCGGAAATAGCTTTATGCATCCCAAATGTATGTTTTACGCTGATTTAAAAGTTTGCGCAATCTGAATTTTACCATGCATTGTGGACACCCCATTAACAGTAAAATTTAAAGTGTTTTTCACAGGACAGCGGCGATATATTGGTATAGGGCCCGATCAATATGTATATTTAAAAGCAGATGTTGAGTTTTTGTAGAAAAAAAAATACAGCTTATCAGACAATTTTTAAAAACGCATGAAGTATCTTTTTCCCAAAATGCAGAATCGGGATCAGCACAAAAAAAAAGATGAAAGTTTACTTGCATCTGTGGTTAAAAATGTAAAACTTTGACTTGTGTTATTTTACACTTTTCTTGTTTGCATTTATTTTGGTTGTCAACGCTGCAATTGGCTAGTGGTCAGTCCAGGGAGCCACCTGTTGTAGGCTCTAGCAATCATGTGACCTGAATTTAAATGTGATTGAAAAATAGATGGATATTGTAAAATTGTGAGTAAATATTTACATTGTACAGTTCCCGGTTACTTTTTGTTGCCGCTTAGCCCCTAATGCAGGTATGTCCATCTCCGGTCCTGAAGGGCTGCCGTCCTGAATCAAATGCTGGAGAGGGAAGACAAAACACGCTGGACAGCGGCCTTCGAGCACCGGGTTTGGACATGCTTGCTCTGCTGGTAAGAAGAGATCTACTCTGTTTTCACTTTTCTAGTAAACCAAATTAATATAACTGTATATTAACATTTCATTGTACGCTGTCTTTCCCCTTACTGTTACATGGGGGGGCGGGGGCTCTTTTTTTCAGTTATAATTGCTAAGTTTGATCACAGTATTGATGAAATATTAAATTGTTTTGAAGGATTTCTTTTATGAATGTGCATGAATAAATATTGAGTAATTTTGTACTCAAGGGGACACAAATTTGAATTTAAGAACCACAATATAAATTGAAAATAAATGTATATTTGAAGAGCGAGTCTGCTGCAACAATCTTAAGTGTAGTGGACCTTTTTTTGTGTTTCTAAAGGCCGATGGCATGGGCTCAACAAGTTGTAAACTTGTATTTTGGTTTGTCTGATGAATGCAGTACTGTGTCACTGACGGTGTAGTTGTACACTCTCCTCACCTGTGTGCGGGCAGCGTGGGTTCAGTTCCCACTCAGTGATGGTGTGAATGTGGGTGTGTATGGTTGATATGTGCCCTGTGACTGACTGGCGACCAGTTCATGGGTTAGTCTGCCTTTTCCCCGAAGTCAGCTGGGATAGGATCCTGCAACAACCTGACCCTCTTCAGTGTAAGCGGTGTTGAAAATGGACGGATGTAGTACTTTTAAAGCTCTACTGTTGAGTATTTGTATTCATGTGAACCACAAATCATTTGCAATTATTTTGGCTGCCACTTGGGGAAAGGGGAAGGAAGAGAAGCACTGTGGCTTTGTTTTCAGGCCAAAAACTATACAATTAAGATATCCTTTATTTGTCCCACAATGGGGAAATTTACAGTCCACAGCAGCAAGATAATGGGTAGAAAGAAGAAAAGAAAACAAACACCGTTCAATTAAGTGCAATATAAATACAGATATGGGTATGGTCGCAGTGCTATTTACAATTGGCAATATTTGTAAAAAAAGGGGTCAAATATGCACACTGCAAATGTATTTTAATGTGTGAGATATTACTCATTAGTAAAGAACAAGCTGCAGAAGGAGAAAAATCCTTCACCACCTGGATACAGACTTGCTACCCAGAGGCACTGCTTAATGGTTGAGGCCTTCAGGTGTGGCAGACATCTGGGTGAATAGCTGTGTAATTGTCATCCTCAGCATTAGTTAACATTTAACTACGTTTACTGTAATTTAAGCAAACGTAAACCTGCTCAGATTTGAATTTGAATATGCACGTTTACTCAGAAAACAGATACTGTATACTTGCTCTACTCACCATAATGAAAAATGTGTCAAATGATTCCTTAATTAGGAGATCCTTAAGAAAACCAAGGATTGCCTAAATTAGGAATCATACGCATTACTAGTATACCACTTATGTGGAGATATGTGATAACACACACACACACGCACACGGTCTACCTATAAGCTACCAAAGAACTATACAAATTATAACTAGTTCGAATTATGTACAACCTACCAATGCATTACCAAATTAAACGCTCATTGTCAGATTTATCCATCCATTTTCCGATGCGCTTATCCTCACAAGGGTCGCGGGGGACACCCTGAACCGGTTGCCAGCCAATCGCAGTGCACACACAGACAAACAACCATCCACGCTCACATTCACACATAGGGACAATTTAGAGTGTTCCATTAACCGGCTATGCATGCTTTTTAGAATGTGGGAGGAAACCGGAGTAAACACGCAGGCCCGCGGAGAACATGCAAACTCCACATAGGGAGGCCGGAGCTGGAATTGAACCCGGTACCTCTGCACTGTGAGGTCGACACGCCAACCACCGTGCTGCCTTCTATGACTTAGTCGACTCCAAAACAGCACAAACATGAAAACCGTACAATGACCAACCTTGCCACAGATCCCAGAAGCTGTTCAGAATCAGAGAGTTGCTGTTGTGACTTAAAGGGGCACAAGTCGTCATTCACCAGCAAAGATGGGAGTGAGGTTCACCTTTAAGAGCTGTGTGTGAAAATACTTGAATAGTGTCCCTCAACGTACAATTCCAAGAAATTAAGGGATTTCATCATCCACGGTCCATAAGGCTCAGAGAATCTGGAGAAATCACTGCATGTAAGCTGTAAGGCCAAAACCCAACAAGGAACCCTGTCAGTAAATACACTTTGGCGCTGCATCCGGAAATGCAACTTAAAACTCAACTATGCAAAGCAAAAGCCATTTATAAACAACACCCTGGGTCTGAGCTCATCTAAAATGGACTGATGTAAAGTGGAAAAGTGTTCTGACAAGTCCACATTTCAAAGTGGTTTTGGAAATGCTGGACTTCATGTCCTCCAGGCCAGAGAAAAAGAACCATCACAACCATTATGGATGCAAAGTCCAAAGCCAACATCTGTGATGGTATGGGGGCTGTGTTAGTGCCAATAGGTACAGACAGGTTTTGGAGGAACATAAGCTGCCACCCAAGCAACGTCTTTCATGGATACTACTACTTATTTCAGCAAGACAATGCCAAACCACATTCTGCTCCTGTTAAAACAGCTTGGCTTTATTGTAAAATAGTGGGGGTACTAGACTGGCCTGCTTGCAGTCCAGACATGTTCCCCACTAAAAATGTCCGGGGCATTGTGAAAAGTTTATACACACACCACACACACACAAAAAGCAAGAATAGGGGCGGATGGAGAAAAAAAAAAAAAATCCACCTACAAAGCTTCAACAATTTGGTTCCTCAGTTCCAAACGATTGAATGTTGAAAGGATTTAAGTGGTAAACATGACCCTGTCCCAGCTTTTTCTTTTTTACATGTTGCAGCTATAAAATTCTGAGTCAATGATTTGCTAAAAACAGTTTTAGCTTGAACATTAAATATATTGTCTGTGTATTCAATTAAATACAGTTTAAACATGATTTGCAAATCATTGTATTCTGATTAACATCCCAACTTCATTGGAATAGTTTTTTTACATTACATGTGCGGTCTTGAGTGACAGTCAAACCAAGTAAAACAGACAATTACAGCAAAACATGGAAGATTTATTTAAAATACTTCGTGCACCACATTAGTCTGCAGACGCTTCCTGGTGGAAGGGAGAGTGGGAGGTAAGTCATACTACAAGCTATGACATTGGTTTACTTTTTATGGGGGGGAGATACCTCTTTTTTTTCATGGTCTGCTAATGAAGTGTCTGCAGGAGGAGTCACTGTAGTTTTGCTGTCAAGATCTTTCATAGACGTTTCCTTCACCGCTTCTGGATTTGCCCTCCTGCAAGAGAGAAATAGACCATACAGAAAATGTTTCAAAGACACAGATTACCTGCTTATGTGTTCGCATGATATGGTCAGTGTTCAAGCATTAGCAATCGAGTTACATTTAGGAGTGTTTAGATATTTATTTCAAATAAAAACACCTCGAGCGGGCACCCTTCTTCAATTTGATCGTGACAGCAATCACAGCCAGGATCACCACTGCACAGAGGCCAGCTGCTCCACACAAAATTGGAACTGGCAGGGATTTGTCCTGACATGAATCACCACTGTAGCCCATTGAACACACACAAGTTGTTTCTCTCCCGATCTCAACACAACGTCCGTTTCCGCTGCAGCGTGTCCGGCTACACATTTGAGCATTCAAATTTAAAGGTTGTTTGCTGCCGTTTGTGGTACTGCTAAAACCAGAGACAGGATGAGTTGATGGGACAGTCGGGGAGGTGGGAGATTGGGTGAGCGCGGGTACCTTGACTCCAGACCTGTGTTTTACATTGACACCTGCGGGGACAGATTTAACACACCACCATTGCATTATCATGCAATGTTAACAATTTGGTTTTATTTAAAAGACAAAATATGTTTAAAAAGAATACTCACAGTTCTCATCTGAATGATCAGAGCAGTCTATATGTCCATCACAGAACTTCTCATCAGGCTGGCAGGAAATTTGATCCAGACATGACCGACTGCCGGCTGGGCAGCGCTGCTCTGGGGAACAGTGAGTAGCATTCACAGTGATGTGGTCATGGGCGCACTTGCATGTTCGGCCATTTGGGGTGGCCAAGCAGAGGTGCTGGCAGTTACCATTCTTTATTTGACACTGGTTAGAGCCTGTCACATGGAGGACAACTTTAGAGTCCAGTCTACTCACAATTCAACTAAATTGTTGTACGTTTTACCTACCAGTCTCACTCGATTTGCTAACTGCCTTCATGCTAATTACTTCTGTGCCAACCTCAAACCACAACTTGTTCTGCTGCTGGTCATCGGTGTACCAGAGCCTGGTCTTATCTATGAAAGGAAAAGGAAAATTGAAAGCTGCGGTAAACAGTTAAACATTGTTTGCTTTCAGATACTGGTGAAAATTGGAAGTGGGCATTGTCATTACCACTGACAGTCATCCAGACTAGTGTGTCTTCACTGAGCGCTACTGCAGTCAAACCATCAGCTACCTTTAATTCTTTGTGTCCAGAGCCATCTAGTTGAACAGATCCAATCACATCGAGACCTACAAAAATCGTAGGGATTAGGTTTTTGATTATAGGCCTACTATAGTCTATGTCATCAAATGGCAAACACAACAGCATCTCTGCAACACACTACCCACACCTTATTAGAGTCAATTCTTACTAGTGTCAGCCCAGAGAATAGTTTCGCCGTTAGTTGAGAAGACCAGAGACTTTGGTTGGATACCGTTCCTCCACACTACTCTTCTCTCAGCACCATCCATGTTGGCACATTCTACCGTAGCTCCCGGGCTTGTGTCCTGCAGACCCTTATTGGTGAAACAGACACGGCCCGTCGGAGGGTGGAGCGCTATGGATTCCACCCCACCAATACCATCCTTTATCAAAATGGTCGTAAATACACCACTGTTGGAGGTGACGTGTAAGCGGGGTTGCTTGGTGCTGCTCCAGTAGATATTGAAGGTTACCCAGTCCAAGGCCATAGCGGTGATTGTGTCACTAAGGAGCTTAAGAATTTGGCCTTCAGAGACCAAATTCAAGTCTTTAAGTTTGAAGGAGCTGAAGGATGTTGTCCCATCATCAGCCAAAAGGAGGGTGTTGTCATGTGGGCTGTAGTCCATGATTGCCGCTTCATTGACACTTGGTACCTGCATACCTGTATGTTCAGGCCATCCCTTCAGCTCATCTGAAGTGTGTCGGACCTGCAGGTAAATCTACAGAACACAAAATGTCCACGCGTTCGTCTGATAAATTGCACCATGATCAGTGTTGCAAAACCTTTCATGGTGTCAACCAATAAGTGGGAGCGAGGAACAGATGCAAAACACACAGACCTTAGTGACGGTGGAGGGAGATAAAATCAACAGGAAGGCTGTATCAACCAAGTTGGTGCAAGTCAGACCATCGTCAGAAAGTATCAGATCAGAGGGACACTTGCATACAGCCTTTAGCCCAGGAGCCAAGACACACAAGTGGGAACAGTCCATCTTACAAGGATTATCTCTGCGTTGCTGTGATATTTGGTGGATAATCTGTTGATCAGGAATTTGGGGGTAAGGAAGGGGAAAAAAATGTCCGGGATCGAATACTCACTAATATCATTTAGTCACTTTTAAATTGACAATATCAAAATGATCACAAGTTGTACAGTGTAATAATTAAGGTGATATGAGACAGATGTTTACCCATCCCGTCTGTTTGACTTACCTTTACACCAAAAGGCTGTTTTAGTCTCTTCAAGAGGACACGAACATTTTTTCCAGTAATTTTATGGGCAACCTGCACCACTCTTCTCTTGGCATCAGACCAGTAGAGCATGTCATTGAACACTGACAGGGAGAAAGGATTGGCAGTCTCTTTCATCTGTAGTATCTGAAACGATAAAAATGTACACGGCATATTTTGGTGGGGCTTTCACATAAGAGAATGTCACATATTTGAGCACTACGTGATTAGTTCTTTTTAAAGCAAATCTGGAATGTTTTACGACAACATTTTACCTGAATGTCATCGCCATCAAGCGTTGCAGACCCGATTGCTTTTAGCCTCTCATCCGTCCAGTAGACTCTGTCACGAAGAGTGTCTACTGCCACACCACCTGGCCAGCCTAAACTGGAGTTAACCACTGCCCGCCTCTCGGAACCATCCATTCCAGCCCTTTCAATCTTGACTGTGTTTCCAATTTCAGTCCAGAACATCAGCCTGGTATAAATGTGTTGGTAGAGGGCAGAAATGCAAAATCTTAAATACGAAAATTAAGGGCTTGCGGCTTCTCACAGTGAAATAATTAAATACCCCTTTTCTGGTAACAGTGCAAGGGACCGAGGCTGATCCAGGTCTTCATCCAAGATAACACTGTATGGTGAACCACCAGCAGACAGTTTCATGGCAATAATTTGACTGTTCACACCATCAATCCAGTACAGATTTCTCCCAAGCCAGTCCACAGCCAAAGAATCAGCTCGCACACCTGTGAAAACAGGGGGGCAGCGCTCACCAGTTACAGGTTCAACTCCAGAATGTCATATCTCTTCTCTTTGAAGAGCTCATAATCTCACCAAATTTGAACTACTGTACCTCCGATTAGAGTTCCTGTGGTCTTTTTCTCCAGAGAGGACCATCTGATACTGTCAGTGTCAAGACTAACCCAAAACACCATCCTTTTATGCCAGTCATAGTCGAGAGATAAAACTGCCTTCTTGGCAGAGGAAGACAATAGATCCAAGCTGCCACTGCGCAACCCAAACACCAGGAGATCAGTTTGGACCGAGGATAACAGTAAGGGTTCACCTGTGGACAATACATATTTTATCGAAGAAACAAAAAGGAGGACATCAGCAAAATCTCAATGTGTAGTATTTGTTGTGCACTAGGTGAACAAATTGTGGTTTGTATATTGATAAGTGTAAACTAATTTTCTGGTTTGCATGGTATAATAAGCTGGCAGGATCCCAAAATCCTACCAAATTTAAGGCAACATATGGCCTGCACTGACAATTTGAAGCCTAAAATTAACATTACATAGAGTACATGTTTTAACTGTGGCAAGAAGCTGTGAGAAATGTGCAAGCTACAGAGAAAAGACAAGACATATTTGAATGCAGAATACTCAACCCACGCACATTTCTTCACAAAAACTATGCAACGTCTGAGTTTTACCCTTGATTTTGCAATTGTGTCCATCAGCTTCCATTATGTAGCCTGTGTGACAGTCACACTTGTAGGAGCCCGGGGTGTTTACACACAGTTGACTGCACACAGCTGAGTGGTGGTCTTCACACTCATCAACATCGGCACAGGTCACTCCATCATCAAGTAGTCTGTAGCCTACTGCACAGTGGCAACGCTGTACAGAATAGAATTTTTTTTTAAATTACGTTTACTTCTAAAATTATACTTTAAGGAAATGTTTTAAAATCTAATTTAAATGTCTGGGCAGGCCTTGCTTCAAGCAGCCCATCTTTCTGTGTTCCTTACCGGACCCTGTGGTGTGCTGAAACATCCCTGGGAGCAGCGCCTGATATCAGCTTCTGCACAGTTTATCTGACAACTCCCATCCTCATCTGAACCATCTGCACAATTTCTAATTCCATTGCACACAAGGGAGGGATCCACGCACTCCAGACTGCCACATTGGAACTGGTGAAGAAGACATGCCACCAACCCACCTAGTATGCACAAAGATGTTTAAAAGTTTGGTGAAGTACTTGGGGCCCTTTATAGTGCAGACCACCAATTTTCTCCATTGCTAACTTGAACAAAAATGAATATTTGTGGTTAAGAAAGACAAAAACACCCTACATATTTGCCATTGTAAGATTATGTGCACATCAAGTCTTTTTCTCACACACACACACACACACGTGTATTGAGTTTACAAGTTAGTCACACACAATTCTGTGCATGTGTATAGTGCATTTTGTTTTCCAATAAATTACTGTACCTGACAAACCTACTAGAGTATTAACATGATATGAGTTCCGGTAATATACAGCAAACAAGGGGGAGCACTAGATTTTTAGTTTATACATGTTGCCACTTCAATTGAACATGTAAACTGCGCTGTACTGACATCCATTGATGTTTTCCTTTCTTTCAGTTTTATTTGTACAAATATGTTCAATTAAAAGAAAAATAGTACACAGAGATTAAAACTCTTTGCCACGGCCCAATTAATTTAGTTACTCACACTCCGTTTCATCACTTCCATCATGGCAGTCTTTTGTGCCATCACACCTCCAGGTTACAGGGATACACACAGCCTTTGATTTACATGGCCACTGATAATCACCACAGCTCAGTGGAGCCAAATCAGGACAATCCTACAATAGAAGCTCATTTAGAATTTGATCGAAACCAGCAAACCAATAGTCTATATTCATCACCACAAAATGTACACTCGACCTTTTCATCTGTGCCATCTTTGCAGTCCTGTTCTCCATCACAGAGCCACTCCTCAACCAGGCACTCCTTGCTCTGAGGGCAACTTTGCTTAGTTTTGCAGACTGGTGCTCTGATGCATCCTTCTTCATCCGAATGATCCCAACAGTCTGGGTGGCCATCACAATGCATTGTAGCTGACACGCACTGACCACTGGTGCATCTAAATTCACTGGCACTGCAGTCCTTAACTAGAAAAAGAAATAATGTATCTTACACAATTCCAGCCTAATAAAATGGTGCGTTTTTATACACATACCACAGTCAGTCTCATCAGTGCCGTCCAAACAGTCACTTTCCCCATCACAAAGGAAAGTTTCAGGAAGGCAGCGGCTCTCGCCATCACAGAGATGAGAGCAGCCCTCGGTGTATTTGGTACATTTCTGTTCATCAGAGCGGTCCTGACACTGAGGCACACCATCACACACTTGATTCTTTTCGATGCACTTTTTACCATGGGCACACTGGAACTGGTCTGCAAACGATAACAGTCAATCAGAACTCAGAGCTTGTGGTTCGAACTCGAAGCCACATTATTACAGCTTTCCTTAATCACTAACAAGCACGCGCGCACACACACACACACACCGCTGTGGAGGAAGTGTGTCAAAGGGATATATAGAAAAGTTCACTCACAAATTAAATACAGTGTCTTCAAAAGTCAGTGATGTGTTCCTCGAGCCGGCCCTTGGCCTCGAGGATCACAATGCATTGTAGCTGACACGCACTGACCACTGGTGCACCTAAATTCACTGGCACTGCAGTCCTTAACTAGAAAAAGAAATACTGTATCTTACACAATTCTAGCCTAATAAAATGGTGCGTTTTTATACACATACCACAGTCAGTCTCATCAGTGCCGTCCAAACAGTCACTTTCCCCATCACAAAGGAAAGTTTCAGGAAGGCAGCGGCTCTCGCCATCACAGAGATGAGAGCAGCCCTCGGTGTATTTGGTACATTTCTGTTCATCAGAGCGGTCCTGACACTGAGGCACACCATCACACACTTGATTCTTTTCGATGCACTTTTTACCATGGGCACACTGGAACTGGTCTGCAAACGATAACAGTCAATCAGAACTCAGAGCTTGTGGTTCGAACTCAAATCCACATTATTACAGCTTTCCTTAATCACTAACAAGCACACACACACACACACACACCGTTGTGGAGGAAGTGTGTCAAAGGGATATGTAGAAAAGTTCACTCACAAATTAAATAGTGTCTTCAAAAGTCACGACACACGCCACTGCCAAGTGACATTTAGCGCAACGAATAAAAGCGGGATCACAGTTAGTTTCAATCACGGTTTGTTCCGTTCGCGATCGGCAGTTTAAATAGCGTGTAAAGTCTTTCTGTAACAGTGGTGTCTTTTATGTAGTTATTTTTGCACAGTCGTCACGTTTCTGCGGTGGCACTATAATGTTTGTTTGAACCAAGTAATTTGCGTTACAGCTGGAGTCAATAATGCCGGCACTTCATTTCCGGGTTTGGCCGTTGGGATTTGGAGTCCTTTTTGTGTGTAACTTTTGACAAAAGTCACTACACACATTTTCATACCATTGAGACAAACATTTAGCAATCAGCATTTAACAGTGGCCTTGTCCATGGTTTAGCAACCGATGTTGGGGTAGCACTGCAAAATTTACACCAACAAGACTTTTCTTTCTCGGACTCGACTGCAGTGGAGCGCCAGTTTGAGAAGCTTTATCTGCCACTCTGCTCCAATGTGTTGTGCAGTTACGCTATTCATGGCAAGTTTCTCAAACCGGGATCATCACAGCGGCAGGCTTGCCACTAATATTGATGAAAACACCAAATTTACAGCCATTCAGATAAAATCTGGTACAGTCTATTCGGAAGGCTGCACTGGACTTCGACACTATCTGAATTCAGTTGGTTCTTCAGAGAGTGATAAAAACTTCACTCATATTTGACTTCAGGTTGTTCAAAGGCCTACAGCAGAAGACTATATAAAAGAAACTGCATTACCCTGTTCACAAGTAGATGAGCATTCTTCTTCATCTGAGCCATCGTTGCAGTCATCTTCTCCATCACAGATATGGTTGAAAAGGACACAATCGCTGTTGTCTTTGCAGGGTTTGGAACCCAAGTGGCACTTGATAGGTTTCGACACAAACTGGACTGGAAGAGGGGTGGGTGAAGTGGTCCCTCCATTCACACCCTCTAATTAGTGACATGGATAAACATTTGGTTTCAGTATGTATACTAGTCACAGTTGAACATGTGACACGGAAACGATACCAGACATTGTTCGGTTAAAACTTACCACAATTTTCCTCATCTGTTCCATCTAAGCAGTCTCTTTCTGAATCACATAGCAAGGATGCGGGTAAGCAGCGATTGTTATTGTCACAGAGATGAACACATCCCTCTGGTTTTGAACAATGCACTTCATCTGACCGGTCCTGACAGTGAAGTATACCATCACACACTTCATCCTTATCGATGCACTTCTTCCCATGGGCACACTGAAATTGATCTTAAATTGGACACAGAAAACACCTCAATATGACCAAATACTCATTTTAATCCAATTTCTGTCAGTTTTTGTGGGGTTTTGTCTGCTGCTTGACAACTAACCACAAACTGACTGGCTTCATGCTAACGACCGAAATATTTAAAAACAAATCAGTTTATATTTTTTGGGGATTATTTAGCAAGGGAACCAGCTAAAGAAAAAAAAGGTCGAAATATGGTTAAAAAAACAGGTAAGTACCCTCATTACAAGCTAGTTCACAATCCTCTTCATCAGATTTATCGGAACAATCAGGCTCCCCATCGCATACATGGCGAAAGAGCACACACTCCAAACCATCCTTGCATTGCACGGAACCTAGGTTGCACTTTACAGTACTGCTTTCAGCTGAAACAACCAACAAAGGGACAGTTAAAAATGTACAAACTGTTTGACTTCAAATTTAGATGCAATGACCACACAATCTATTCAGAAACAAAATAATCCTAAACACAACTCACCTTCCTGTAGGGAGGCTGTCAAGTGCAATAACCCTACAAAAAGACATAAATATACGGCCATCACAACATAAAAAAAAACAAGTGGACCAGACAGCGCTGCACACAAGACAAAAGCGTTTTATAGTAGTTCAGGTGTTTTCAAGACATCTTAATTGACCACGTGAGTGATAGGTGGAGCTAAAGGGCCGTTTATAATCCAGCACTTTATTTTGGAAAAATATAAACATTGAAGACATGCGATCAAGTGTGAGACACTCGATCAACATTTACATTAACCTCCTGTCAATATCAAGCTTAATCGCCTCTCTGATATGGTATTGTCTTTATTTAGCAGAAACTGCTAAATAATTAGTCTTGTTCCAGTGACCATTGTTCTTAAATCTTGGATTCCTATCCACCAAAACGAAGCATTTTAAGCTTTTTTTTTTTTGTAAAACCATTCAAGACACATATTACCTTTGAAGAGGGAAAAACGTGATCTTGCAATCGTCCAATCACGTTTTTTAACCCATACAACACTAAACACATTATACTATTGAAGGGAGGGAGGGGGGGGGCGGAACGTCATGTTGCAATGTCCAATCACGTAGCCAGAGTTTTTAAGGGTTCTTGTGTACCAATCAACAAGTCTGTTGTCTTCTTCCGGTCTACCTAACATGGCTAACTCGCTCCAGTAGCACTGGTAGCAACTTGGGAAAATCCGTAAAATTCAGCAGCGTTATTATATTTCCCAGGCATTTTATTCCATTGAGTTGTTTATTGTAACGTTTGCCGTTTTACTACTACTGCGGGACGCTGGAGTTTCACACTCGGTGAGTACTGCAACGGAACGCTTGAGCTGTTATGTCGACTTTGAAGGATGCTGTTGTGTGTGTGTGTGTGTGTGTGTGTGTGTGTGTGGGGGGCCCATGACAGTCATAGTAGTGCATGACGAGTTGAATAGACTGCGGACACAAGTGGATTAGCACTAATGAGGACAGGCAATACCTGATGATGGATGGCAGCACTCACACCGGGCTGCTTTGCTTTCTAGCTTGAAGTGTACTCAACATGCTAGTGTGCTTGTTCCTCTGTTTGTCTTGCAGGTCCATTATTGCCTCTCAGCCTTTGTGTTATTATTTTTTGCAGAGAAAAGGAGGTGGGAGGGGGTCCGGAGAGTGTAAATTTCACACCAATGCGGTATCAAAGCTCAAACGTCAATATTAATGTTTATCTTTTTTTTTTTCGCTCTTTAAAAAGCTATTGAGTAGAGAAAAAAAAATGCAGGGGGTA